AATCTCTGCCCTCAGTGGAAACCAAATGCAGTCTGAATGGCAGATTCTGGTTCTAGGGACTCCTATGAAACTGATAAGAGAGCAGAATGGAGCTGGCATAGGCAAAGTGGCCTAAAAGTCTGTTCTGTGGAACCTGAGGCTCTCTCTGGGGAGAGTATACATGAAAAGTGTAGGGTTGAGAGCCTATGAAAACAAGGATGGTTGATTTCAGCTCTACGGACTACCAGAGACACTTGGAAGAGGGTGTCTGCACCCCAGGGAAGCAGCGGGAAGCTCTGTATAGCCGCCTTCCTTGCATGCGAACAAAAAACGCCCGCTGACTCTGATTGAGTTGACAATGAAGGATCCATGTGATGTCATAGAGAAGCTCAGCTTCAGGATGGGCTCAAATATGGCCTCTAAACTACTTGCTTCTGCTCCGCAGACCTGCCAGGTAGACACCGGGCCCAAGGGTGATTCAAAGGAAAGAACACAGGCTTCAACACAAAATCGAAATGGACTGCTTTGTCCTACTACACCAGCTGTTTGCACTTGGTAGTTAATTGACAAGTCTTGCTTTACTCGTCAGTATAATGGTTGACTGGAATAGTTGTTTATCCAAAGGATGTAAAAATCCTGACTTGAAGGGGCACGTGTACCCCAATATTTATAGCAGTGGTATCGACAACAGCAAAATTATGGAAAGAGCCCAAATGTCCATTGACTGATGAATGGACAAAGAAGACGTGCTATATGTATACAATGGGACACAACTCGGCAATGAAAACGAATGAAATCTTGCCATTTGCAACAACGTGGTTGGAACTAGAGTGTATTATGCTAAGTGAAATAAGTCAGTCAAAGAAAGAAAAATATCGTATTTCATTCATCTGTGGAATTTGAGGTGCACAACAGATGAACATAGGGGAAGAGAAGGAAAAATAAAATAAAAACAGCGAGGGAAGCAAACCATAAGAGACTCTTAAATCAGAACACACTGAGGGTTGCTGGAGGGGAGGTGGGTGGGGGGATGTGCTAAATGGTTGATGGGCTTTAAGGAGGGCACTTGTTGGGATGAACACTGGATGTTATATGGAAGTGATGAATTACTGGGTTCTACTCCTGAAGCCAAGACCACATTGCATGTTAACTAACTTGAATTTAAGTTAAAAAAAAAATGGTTGATTAGAGAGAGAAACTTCTCAGGTATGGAATTTTCTCACCCGATTTTTGGCACAAGAGTATGTGGCTAGTCCTAACGTGAACAATGACATTTCTGGTGTTAATGGAAGCTGAGGAAGACTGGCCAGGATGAGTGGGGGAAGTGTATGGTGGGCAGAGAAGCAAGCAGCTGAAACAAACACCAGTAGGAGACAAGGTGTAGACGCTGGGGAGGAATCAGGGTTATCACACCGTCTGGCAAAGGGAGAGAATCCAGGAGGCTGAAGTGGGTCTGGGGTTAAGTCCGGATGGGAAGTGGGGTTGGTGTAGAACTGAACACTCCATACCAAAGCTGCTCATGAGAAAATGGGGTATGTTTTCCCTGGAGAAAGACAAAGGGGGAATGACCTAATGACATGGTTTTCACAATGAATTTGAAAGACTTGCGGAAGGACGTCTCCTTAAACTGTGTATCTCAGGGGCTCTGAATGTTACAACCTGTGAATCATTGGCGTGAGGCAAAATGATTGACTTGGAAAAGTGCTACAAGTGTCAATTTTTGCCTTGATTTCATATATATATATATATATATATATATACACATGCATACATATATACAACCATTGTATTATAAATTAAAAGCTAGAGACTAACAGCTATTTTCATTTTGGCATTGTGTTACTAATTAAGAGTTATTTGAATGTGAGAATGATAGGAATTACATACCCTTGGAATAAAAGATAGTCCTTGTGACCATATTTTGAGCCCTTTTTGCTTTATACAGTATACCTAAACTTCTTCTCTTAATGATCAGTGACAACTTTATCATAGACCTGGGCCAGAACTTTAATGACAGTTGGGGACACTTTGATAAGTGCAGAGGACAGTCACAGAAACAGGTGAAAGAAAGGTAAATTAAGGCTAAATTTGACTAAAGAAGAAAAATACAATTAGAAAAATAATTTGTGCTTTTTTTTGTTGTTGTTGAAAAGAGAGCTGATTTTTAAAAAGTGTTGCCTTGGGACACCTGCGTGCCTCAGTCGGTTAAGTACCCGACGCTTAGTTTCAGCTCAGGTCATGATCTCATGGTTCGTGAGTTTCAACCCCACGTCCGGCTCCTTGTTGAATGTGTGCAGTCGTCCAGATTCTCTCTCTCTCTCTCTGCCCTTTCCCACTCGTGCTCCCATACTCTCTCTCTCTCTCTCTCTCTCTCTGTCTCTCTCTCTCTCTCTCTGAGAATAAATAAATAAACTTAGAAAAACAAGTGATGTCTTGCTGAAAAGTAGTCTCCATATCCCTGGAAGCTTCCACCAAAGGCTGTATAATGGATTCTGAAATACCCAGAGGCATATGACAGAGAAGCAACACTCATTAAATGGCCACCAGGTCAGACACAGTACTCAGCCCTGCATATTTATTATATCCATTAATGCTAAGAGAGGCTGATGAACTTGCCCAAGGCCACAAATGGGAGACATGGAATTAAAACCCGGGCCTTCCTGCCTTTGCTATTAATAGCTTTATTTAGCTCCGTGTGTGGTACTAGAAATATGGCTGAGAGGCTTGACCGGATCTTCACAAAGGTACGAAATAATAGTGACCAAAAATATTTTTTCTGCTTTCTTTTTTTCCCTTTGCCTTGTGACATTACTCATTGTTTAGCTTAACTTTTTCATCCTTAAACATCCTTGTGGCTGGACAATTGCTAAAGCAGGTGTCACAAGACTTCTCCTATAAAAGACCAAAGATTCAATATCTTTAGCCTTGTGGGTCATTGTTTCTCTGCCTCAACCACTCAACTCTACCATTGTCACATGAAAGCAATGATAACCAATATGTAAATCAGTGAGGTTGACTGTGCTTGAGTAAAGCTTTATTCACAAAAGCAGGGGGCAGGCTCCTGTGGCCTGAGGGCTGTGATTCCCTGACACCTGTGTTGGTGATCCTGGAAGTCTCTTTCCAGCCAGTTTTATGCTCCTTCCAGGAGGAGCAGGAGTCTTATGTGATTGATCAGTTTGGAAGAGGGAAGTCTCTTTTCCTAGACTCACCCCTGCCCTCCCTCCCCAATCTGGCTCCTTTTTCATTATTTTGGTCTGTTCTCTGCTTTTAGGTGAGGATCCTTCCATGACAGAGGTCTGTGGTTATTCAAGTCTACCTGTAACTAGACGGGAGTGTTTAATTGCCAGGCATGGGTTTTAGGACTGTTTGTTACCCAGTGTGACCGCCAGCCTATCCTGACTGATGCATGGGGTAGAGCACAAGGAACTCCTTCCTCTGCCCATATTTAAACACATCTTCCATTCAGCATTTTAGCAGGTCGAAGGCTGATATTTGAGTTTTCATACATCTGAGTCCTGTGGCTAAATCTCAGTTGGTTCCAACATAGGGGGATCTTGTCTCCACCCCTGCAAAGCTACAGTTGGTCCCCACCCAAAGTTCAGTTCGGAGATTGAGAATGGTGATGTGACACATGCATGAAGAGGTCTGAGGAGGTTTGTAACATCCACAGCTGAGGTCTCTGGGAAAGGCAGGGCAGTCCTCTTAAGCAGGTTCATTAATTGCATGAGATAATCAGGAAAAGAAACGAGGGTGTGCCTCATTGCAGGTAGGGGGCACAGGCAAGGGGGAGGGTCCTCATGTGTGGGCAGGGGCTTGTGTACTTTGAACCCCCCTTGGGCACCAAAGGAGGGACCACCTGGGTTTTCATATCAGCTTTCTCAGGTATGGGACAAAGCAAACGAGGGAGGTGTAAAATATAACATCAAAAATGCATTCTAGCTTGAAGGAGGTGCACACTGTTTGGGGGGCCCGGGTGCATCAGTCTGTTAAGTGACCAACTCTTGATTTCGGCTCAGGTTACAATCTCATGGTTCATGAGTTCAAGCCCTGCATAGGGCTCTGCACTGACGGGGAAGAGACTGCTTGGGATTCTCTCTCTCCCTCTCTCTTTACCCCTTGGGCACACATTCTCTCTCAAGATAAATAAGCATAAAGAAACATTTTTTAAAAATGCAGGCAGTTTCTCTGATATAGTAGAGTTTTATTTAACTAGGTACCCTATCTCTGCCCACCTGGAATTAAAGATACGTATATAAGTATTTCCTCTTGATTCATCTGTGTACTCCTCAATAGAATATTTCTTGTCTTATCAATTTATCTATACTCATAGTTCAACACATCTTGAACAGAGTAAATGTCCTTATGTGCAATTGTAATTAATTGTTCCCTTATCTAAATAATGCAACCTAATTAGCTAATACATTTAGATAAACATACCTATGCAGACTCAAAAAGGGTTTGTTGTTGTCAGATTAATATGATGCTGAGAATTTTGTGGACCTCTCTAGTGCTAATAATCATAACTGTATCTAAGTTTACTTGCATTGCTCCAAGATGAAGTCAAATCTTCCAAAATTGGAATTAGGGAGGCTACCAAAAGGAGGCACAACCACATTTCCTGAGTTATCACATTCCCTAAAGCAACCACAGGTGAAGAGACACACGATTTTACACAAGTGAGAAGTAATGCTTTGTGTAGAAAGAAAGTCTACCTCGATATTATATTATGAAGTAATCTGGGAAAGAATCCAAATGGAGCCTCACACCTCTGACTGTATAATGATTGTGCTTTTTCACAAGGTCGAATAAGACATATGGAATATAAACTTTGGTCTTTAGGAATGAATGCCAGAGTTTCTGAAATCTTTCCAAATGTAGAATGGAGTAGAACACTTCTGATTAGAAAACCTCTTGTTTAAAATATATTTGTTTTGCAATCTTGTTTATTTTTACAGGCGTGGATTATGGAATCATGCATTCTTTGATATCCTAAGTAAGGCAAAATGAATTTATGCACTCACCAAGGACCCAAAGTTTCCATCCTAGTAAAAATGTTTACATGGTTGCAACACCCCCTTCCCTGGCTGAATCATGCCAAGACTCTCTCCATGGATTTGATATGGAAAGACCTTTGTGTGTTCTGTCTCCCAGTTACTGCTGATCAATGGCATTTCTGTGTTCCAAGAACTATTAAGGATTTCTATGTTCAGGTATCTGTCACCTGGATCAAAATAGAGAAGAATATGGAAGCATTATTTCTTGATAGCCACCTAGATCCCAGCAGTATCATGCAACAGATGATACTAAGATTTTTCAGTACATTTGAGGATCCAAGTAATACGTATAGATGAAGACAATGGTCAAGTTTCAGTGATCAGACACTGTTTGCGGTTTTGGTCAGTTTTTTAAAGTCAAAACAATAAATAATCCATAATGCTAACTGTTTTAAACAAGAGGCACCTAAACAAGTCAATAACATGGAAATGAGCTTTAAAACCATAGTTGGAACTTTCTGATCTGTTCTATTTACTATCTCCTAAATGGATGTTTTTCAATGCCTTAATTCTTCTAAGAGTATGTGCATGGGACTCTGGAGATGGAAGGACAGGTGTACAAGTTAGTTTATAAGTGATTTAGTAGAAACCATTGTATGAGGATTAAAAATAGGCTGTTTTGGTTTAGATTTTGACAAGCCCCTTTTGACAATTTTTAATTAGGTCTTCTCAAGAAGAAATAATTTGCAGAAATATGGGTTGGTTGCCTATTCAGAAATTGCCATCTATTTTAGTATACCACTGTAAAGGAGATATAATGATATATGATATATAGAGAGATATAGATATATGATATATAGAGAGAGATATATGATATATGCTATTATTAAAGATAGGTTAAAAATAATATCTGGGATTATAGGGTAGGATAAAGTCCTTAGAGATCATTTAGGCTAACTCTCTAATTAAAAAACAAAAGAGCAAATTTGGGGATATAATGGTTAAAGCTATTGCCCAAGACCACACAACCATTTGGTAGATAAACTAAATTTTAAACACAAGGCTCCTGGTTTTAAGGGAGTGCTCTTTCCACAAGCCTAACATGGTAGCACCCCAAAGTTTAATTCATATTTCAAATTTGTTGTTTTTATACATGTGAATTGTTTATTTATTCTCTCTCCACTCTAAGCCACTCATCCACTTGTTGAAAGACTATAAAACAAATCATTATCTAATGTAGTATGAAACACAGGGCAATTTGATCATGTCAGTATGTCCCATATATTTCACGTTCGAACCACTGAATAACAATTTTTAGCCTCTCAGAGAGTTTCTCTGTCCCCTGCCTCTGCCTTCAGCTACTTATTCCTGCTGGCTTTGCTGGCATTCACACTAGATTCAGTTTTGCAAGGTATAGATATTATTGTCTGACATTTCCTCCATGCGGCTCTTCTGTTTCCCAGCTGCTGTAGGACCATCTCACCCACGCAGAGATTACTGCAAGGCAGGTCTGCTAGAGTCAGCTCAGCGTGCATGTCCCACACTCTTTGACCATACACCGAACTTGAGTTAGCTTCGATAGGATAGTGCCCTAGGTTTCTATAAATTCTTGCCCTCACCTCCCATCTCACAGGGAAAGGCTTTTTGCCTGTGACTGGCTTGGTAAGGCTCTATAACTCTGGACTTCAATATCATCAAGCATTAAGAAGACTATTTGCCTAGACATATAAACTATGTCTTCAACCTAGCCTCTGAGAGCAGTATAAGAAATCACTTGGCCCTTATCTGTTGAATCCATTGTCTTACTTCTAAGTTGGTTCAGAATCCTGGTAGAGAAGATGGGTGCCTTTATTTGTGATTCCCTCAACAAAAACAAAATATCAACAGTGTTCTTAGGGTTTTACCTATATTTCCAGAAGATAATAATCTATTTTTCCATCTTTCAAAGTGCAAACACACTGATAATATAACGCATCTCTCGTCCATAGCCTCACATTTTAAAAAACACTTGACTAATTTGATAGGAAAAGTAATATGCAGTGTGCTTGCCAATCTTACATTACTTGTCAATATTCTACCATGATTTGAATTCTAAGGACTTTTTCATAATACCGAGAATGTGCCAGCTATCTCTATCTGGTAAAAGGTCAAGCTACCCATTGTATACTTCAAGCAGATGGTCCCCAAATGGTAACCTGTACAAACTGGAACTCATACACACTTTTGCATTACCTGCATTCAGATTTCTTCCTTCCCAGTAGATACTTTTTAAATAATTCATAAATCATGTTTATAATCTTTTGTCAATTAATAATGCAATAACTACAGCACAGAAATATTGCCAGTAAGTGGTTTATTGGTGATGGATTATCGTAGGACAATTTGACACATGTAAAATGCATAAACAAATCTCAGGGCACCTGGGTGGCTCAGTCATTTAAGGATCGGACCCTTGATTTTGGCTCAGGTCATGATCTCATGGTTTGTGGGTTCCAGCCCCACATCAGGCTTTATGCTGACATCACGGAGCCTGCTTGGGATTCTCCTTCTCCCCACCCCCACCCTGCCCCTCCCTTACACACATACTCTCTTTAGTTCAAAAATAAATAAACCAAAAAAATAAAAATAAAAAACAGAAATCTCAAACAAAAGAACAGTCAGAGGAATGTGGATGTAAAATCATATCTTTGGGGATTTTTTAAATCTAAGCTATACCCGCGTCGGGCTCTGGGCTGATGGCTCAGAGCCTGGAGCCTGTTTCCGATTCTGTGTCTCCCTCTCTCTCTGCCCCTCGCCCGTTCGTGCTCTGTCTCTCTCTGTCCCAAAAATAAATAAACGTTGAAAAAAAAAGTTTAAAAAAAAAAAAAGGGGGCGCCTGGGTGGCGCAGTCGGTTGAGCATCCGACTTCAGCCAGGTCACGATCTCGTGGTCCATGAGTTCGAGCCCCGCGTCGGGCTCTGGGCTGATGGCTCAGAGCCTGGACCCTGTTTCCGATTCTGTGTCTCCCTCTCTCTCTGCCCCTTGCCCGTTCGTGCTCTGTCTCTCTCTGTCCCAAAAATAAATAAACGTTGAAAAAAAAAATTTTAAATCTAAGCTATAAAGAGCAGCAAAAAAGATAAGTTATAGCCATATTTCAATTGCTAAACCCCATAGATATGTTGATATCTTATATTTGATAGTTACAATACATTGAACATTTTCTCAGGACGAGTAAAACCAATTCCCATAATCTGAGAACTGTAAGAAAATTGCTCCATTTTAGAGGGAAGGATATGGAAATAACCACATAATAACCATAAAGCAATATTCAAGATCCAACGTTTCAAAGCTGGACTCACAGAAAGCATTACAACGGAACGTTTAGAGATTGTCAGATCTTACCCCCCATTTGAGCTTTTATCTCCCTATTTTGTCAAATGAGCCGTCAGCTAATCTGAGTTTTACATCTCCTATATAAAAACATGACTTACCCATTTATAATTCTGGCCAGTCGATTTCATATCTGATACGAAAGGAGTATACAGATATCAAGACAGGCTAGAGAGAGATATCATAGAAAATCTGTGACAATCCATAACAGACAGCTTACAAATGAGCTGTGGTTAGTCCCCTTCCTGTATCCACACTCTATCACCAAGGGGCATCTGTTTCTTCCCCCTAAAACCCAGGTCACCTTTGTGACTCGCTTTGGCAAAAGAATGCGATGGAAGAGACAACGTGTCAGTTTTGAACCGTGGCTCTCAGGGAGTGGCATGCATCCGCTCTCTTTCTGCTCATTCTCTTGGACTCTTGTCCCCACCGCATGAAGTCCAGTCGAAAGTGCCAGAGGATGCAGTGTCACATGGAGCAGGAATGAGCCATTCCCACTGAGATGCCACAACAAAACTGGTAGCTGGTCACAGCTGCATGAGCGAGCCCTATGGACTAGACACACTGCCCAGCGAAGCCCAGTGCAAATTGCCAATCTGCAATTGCGAGCCAAATAAATACTTGTTTGGTTAAACCATGACTTTTAGGGGCGTTTGTTATGTAGCAGCAATTAGCAGATACCCAGTCTTCTTTAGCACCAATAAAAAATCTTCCTGTTTGTGACATTAGTGACCAGTACTAGCATGGAAGGCTCTGTCCAACTGAACAATGCCCTTCAAAGATGTCAGCTCCCGCTCACGTTGAAATCTTACGTTAGCGCCACTCAGAACACAAACTATGTCACCCGCTGGTCACCAGCAAAGGTTGATCCGTTACAGTCAGATCATCTCAGTGGTAGAATTGTAAAGGGTAGAGCCGAGAATAAGGGAACATCTTTTTGCACCCAAGGGTGAACATCAGTGACTTAGGACAACAGGATTTCTTTGAAATTAATCACCAGAACGCCATTGCCTATTGGCCAATACCAACACAGAAGATGAGATAAGGAGTATTCCTGTTACTCAAGCCAAGTGACCACTTAGAAAGTTTAATGTGTATTGCCAGGAAGATGAGAGACATAGCAAATGCCATTTGGCCCTTGCTTTGAGAAGTCCCTTCTGCCAGCAGCATAGAGAAGGCACGGGTTACATGGAGGAAAAACAGCCTGTATGAGATCAGACAGCAAAAACATTTGCAGTTGGGCCAGGTGTGGATCCTGTGGAAGGGGGGTATACAGAGTGGTCCTGAGGAGTTCACCCAAGAGGGCAGCCTCGAGGAGCAAGGTGTCCCCAACTATGGGAAGGGTAATAGAAGGTGAAGGATTGAGTTGTTAGTGTCTGAAAGCTGAGTTATGGCCTCGATTAAAAAAAAAAAGAAAGAAAAGAAAAAAGTAGGACTGAGGATATTGGATAGGCACTTCAAATAGCTCCCAATAAAATACAGCATAAAGGAAGGAATTAGCCACGTATTTTAAATGTTTGGGCCAAATTAAAACTTTAAATGGTATAAGAGATTTTTCTCTTCCTAATTCTTCCCCTTCATTTCTTCCTGCTGAGAGGGAACCACAAACAGCAATTAGGGATTGGAGAGGAAAAGAAGTGGAAAAGAGGAAAGTAGACCACAGTTCCTTCCCATTCCATGCTTTCTGGTGTAAGTCAAGCCTAAGCTTTAAAGACTAAGAAACCTTTGAAATGGGGTGAGTAATGTAAGGCTTGATACTATGTAGAGAGGCACTGCCTTTAAATATATTGGAAAAAAATATACTATTTTTTATTACTTGAAATTAACCAGAAAACTTATTTTTTCCTCTAATTTCATCCAAGGTTAGAGAAAAGCAACTCTAGTAAATTGCTTTGGAAAAACATTGGTGGGAAAGCATAAAGTGATAGAGGACCAAGTCCAGCTCAAACAATAAATTTTACTTGTACATAAGTAGACTTTAAGTTCTAATTCCTTTTAGAAGACCCATGTTTAGTAATGATAAGAAATTATCTTAAAGGAAACAATGATGTTACTCAACAACAACAACAAAAAAAAAAAAAAACAATGAGCTATTAAATGTCTGAGAGTTGGCAATTAAAAAAATAAAATGATAGAAGTTTATTTCCATCATTCCTAGCTAGTCAGTGTATCATTTTTTACCATGCAAATGAAGATATCATGTAGGAAATCAATATTGTTATTTTTCCTTGACTGCAATATTTGTAGACAAAGAGTGTATCTCATTGGGGCCTCTTTCTTCTTGACATTATTTTACCCATTGTATTGTCATCCACTTATTCAATAAGCAGGTATCCATTGTCCATCTAGTTTGCAAAACCATGGGACTAGTGCAGGAGATAAAAGGAGAAATCCACAGTCCCATTTCTCACTAAAAATTCACTAAGTGGTAAGGAAGATAAAACAGACAAATGCATCCATATAATTAATTGAAATAAGTAGCTGGCACTTGGAAACGCAGTGGAGGCTGCCTGCCTAAGCCAAGATGGATTGGGAGAAGACCTTTCTGAGCTAAATTGTTAAGAATGAACAGAAAGGTTCTAGGCAGAGAACCAGGAGAAGGGGGTCCTAAGAGAGAAGAACACTGGGAGTAAAGACAGAAAGACAGAGAACCATCATGGTGCATTCAAGGATGTCACATGTCTCCTCTGGCTTGTAAGAAGAGCATTTGGGTCCAAGATAGAAGGGATCAGAATAAAGAAGTAAGAACCAAATCTTGAATAGCCTTATTCCAAAGGCAGTGAGGAGCCCAGCAGTGGCAAGACTAACTTCCGTGTTTACATCCTCCTAAGTAAATGTTCTATTGAATCTCAAAGGCATCCCTTACCCAGCAGCCTCATGGCCTTATGCTGTGTGCCCTGAGGGGCACGTCGTTTCTGTAAGTCGCTCCTCTTCCTGAAGGTGTGGGCTGCCACGTTGTCCTTATTATCTAGTTCTTGCAAACAAGGTCAATAATTTTGTGGAAGAGAGCTAAAGGAAGTAGCTAAGATCGACAATCATCTTCTTTTTTCCAGTTCCCTCTGCTCTTTTATAACTGCTCTGGGGACATGTTTTGTTGTTTTTTTTTTTAATTTTTTTTTCAACGTTTATTTATTTTTGGGACAGAGAGAGACAGAGCATGAACGGGGGAGGGGCAGAGAGAGAGGGAGACACAGAATCGGAAACAGGCTCCAGGCTCTGAGCCATCAGCCCAGAGCCCGACGCGGGGCTCGAACTCACGGACCGCGAGATCGTGACCTGGCTGAAGTCGGACGCTTAACCGACTGCGCCACCCAGGCGCCCCTGGGGACATGTTTTTAAGAGAGAAAAAGAGTCATAGCAAGAAAGGAGAGAGAGGAGAATGCAGTAGCTTCCCTCCCTTAACCACAGTTGTGTTCTCCATGGTTTCATTTACTCACAGTCAACCACAGTCCAGTAGCAGATGCTCTACCTTCTGAAGGTCAGTAGTAGCCCAACACGACATCACAATGCCTACCTCATTTGCCTCACTGTATCTCATCACACAGGCATTTCGTGAGCTCACATCAGCACAAGAAGCAGGGTGAATGCAGGGCAATCAGATATTCTGAGAGGGAGAAAGAGGCCACAGGTACGTACCTTTTATTACATCGTGTTGTCATAATTTTGTTCTATTTTATTATCAGCTACGGTTAATCTCCTAGTACTTAATTTATAAATTAAACTTAATCACACGTATGCCTAGGCGGGAGAAATAACAGTATACAGAGGGTTTGGTATTGTCTACAGCAGCAGCCATCACTGGAGGTCCTGGCATGTATCCTCCACAGGTAAGGGGAACTGCTGTAATTGAAGAGATGATAAAAGAGACACCAAACAAAGGCAAGCTAAGATTAACATAAAAGGGAGCCACAGGTCATGATCTCATGGTTCATGAGATCAAGCCCTGTGTCTGGCTCTGTGTTGACATTGTGGAGCCTGCTGAGGATTCTCTCTCTCCCTCTCTCTGTCCTGTGCCCACTCGTGATCTCACGCACTCTCTCTCTCTCTCAAAACAAATAAACATTAAATATATATATATATATATATATATATATATATATATATAAAAGGGAGCTAGAACTGAGAAAAGAGAAGAAAAAGAAAGTGAGAAAAGCAAGAAGTGAAGGAGAGTAATTGAGATTTGGCAGGGAATCAGTATAATCTTTGTGACCAGGTGGCTGGCAGAAAGAAAAGAATAAAGAAAGCCAGCAAAAGAAAGATTCATAAAGGAATATAAATATAGTGGTAGTAAAGAACATTTTATTACAATACATTATTAATTTACACTGCATTATTTAATACTTGGCCAATAGCACATATAGCACTTAGGTCATGTTTCTGTGGATGTTATAGCTACAACATAACAAGGAAATTGGAGAATTTATACTTTTCCTTGTATCTACAAAGGTCAGATGAACACTGGAGTGAATAAATAGTGTTTGCCAGTGCACAAGTGGTCAGTGCTGATATGGAAAACTCCTGTTTCCTGACACCTTCTTTATAGTTACACACATGAGCATCTCAGCAAATGTTTGTGGCTGGGAGTGAAGAGAAGGATGGGAAGCCACAAAGTAAATCAACGGTAAATATGTAAATAGAACTCTAGACTCATGACTTCCATTTTTAATCATGGCTACACAAAGTTGTTCTCACATGGAAAAAAAAGCAGGAAATCACTTGAGGGAGACTGAATCCTACTTCCTCAGGATTCACAACTTTAATCCACAGTTTCTCAACTGTGGCACTGTAGACACTCAGGGCCAGATAATTCTCTGTTTGCAGAGAGGTTCTGTGCCTTGTCGGATATTAACTGCACCTCTGAGCTCTACCTACCAGATACCAACAGCCTTACAACCAAAAATGTCTCCAGCTATTGCCAAATGTCTGGGGTTAAAATCACCCCTTACTAAAAACCATTGGTCTAAAGGGAACGGCAGTAGATCAGGCCCCAGGAGACAACAGATCTAGTCCCATAACTCAGGGTGTGACTTGAAAGCCATTTTTCTTTCACGCCCCTTCCTCATCTGTCTAGTGACAAACATTCTCTCACTGGCCAAGGTCTACTCAGGCTCCCTGAATTCTTTTGCAACTAGTCCCGACGTTTGGACTCTGCATAGCCCAATTTCAGCAAGAATCCTGATGAGTCAGTTAAGCCAGAACTCACACCCTCGACATCTGATCACCCTCAATATCTAATAGGGTTCCTCACCATCACCATCCTCTAGGTGATGTCTGATGACCCAGGCCTATCTTCAGTAAGAATCCTGTTAGATGGCTCACACCAGAATCCTGCCCTACCCCTGAAGTTTCCTCTTATTAATTTTCTATTCACTGACCCTCACCTTGCCCCTTGGCTCTGAACTCCCTCTTGCACATGATGCAAACTCACTCCAAAATTCCATCACAGCTGTCCTTATACCTACCATGATGGTCCCCTACCTTGAACAGTCTTCTAAACGGTGCTTTAACGGGTGCCGTTGAATAATTTTTCTTTGACACTCGTTCCTTTTTGTAAGTTTATTTATTTACTTTTGAGAAAGAGAGAGAGAGAGAGAGCGAGAGCACAAGCAAGAGAGGGGCAGAGAGAGAGAGAGAGAGAGAGAGAGAATCCCAAGCAGGCTCCACCCAGTCAGTGCAGAGCATGACATGGGGCTTGATTCCATGAGCCATGAGAATGAACCTGAGCTGAAAACAAGCATGTGATGCTTAAACATGAGCCACCCAAGCCTCCCCAACACCAGTTCCTTTTTATGTGACTAGGATGCATTCGATGTGAATCTTAATTAACGAAGAAGTGAAGATAAGAAGCGTGTCAAAACCCCTCAAGTTTGGAAAGATGCTGGTCTCTAACAGTCCTTGATGCAGAGAGTTTGGTGAAGACCAGAATCATGGGTAGGAATAAAAGTGACAGCTGGGGGTCATTGCCAAGAGCAAAGAGCAGGTGAGTATGGAAAATGAAGGATGAGGAGCAAGATTGATGGCAGTGGGGCCAGGATGGAGTGGAATCGGACTCAAGGAGGGAAGAGGAGAGAGTGTGTGTATAAGGTCAGGGCACCACACGTGTGGCCAGAGTCTCATACCAGGTCTCATGCCTGCGTTGAAGGGCAGCATGGCGGCAGGACAGCGGGACGCATTCCAGAATGCTCGCCCCAGTGTCTTAGAAGTCAGACTTGCATTTCATGGTTCACTGCAAAAGTCACGTGTTAAACTTAAGGCACTGGCCTGGGCACTTGAGTATCTCAGGCCATTTATTTGGTAACCTCCACATCTGCTCCCCTTATTTGCAAACACTGAGAGAATACCTTTTGAATACTCTGAAGTATCTGAAACGAGCTCCGACAGATCTTGAACCATGGTAGGTCTTTACTAAGGTCTATATTACCTCCTTTCTTTCCCCTTGCTTGGGAAACACAAATGTAAATAAAGCAGAAAACTGTACTTTCTTCTAGTAAAAAATGGGGTGGCAGTTGTTGTGGAAAGACCGTGCATACATATTCTCTTTCTGCCTTCACACACTTGTGTGAAGTATTATTACCCTGTGTTAATAGACAAGAAAAGTGAGATTCAGAGGGAGAAAATAAGTTATCTAATATCTATGTGAATAGTTGCCTGAACCGAAAGCCACAACTGGGCGGGTGACACCAGCATCCACACTGTTTCACCCACGGCACATCTCTACTCTTAACATCTATCGGGGTAGAATCAATCTGGTGAATGTTACTAGTTAAGATAGACACACTGTAAAAATAAAAGATGCTATTATTACTTCAAAGTCAGGAAGAGGAAAACACACCTGACGGTTGGGAACAGAGTTGGCCTTCCAAATATATCATATCTCAGAATTTTAGCAGAAGATTTGCTATTCTGTGAGCTGTGGGAGTAGCCAAATGATTTTGAAAACATGAAATGAAACAGGTATCAAATATTTGGAAAGCCTCCAAACTTGGCAAAGGGATTGGCATGCATTTTTAAATTCAGATTTTCATTCCAACTTTGCGAACTGAAGTATGTGGACAAGATTGCAATGGGTGAAAATACCTACAGTACTGATTCTTCTCTTATTTAAAATGCAGAGAATAATTTTTGAATCCATAATACTTTCACAAAAATCCAAGGCAACCATTCTGTCTGATAGACAAAGCAATTACTTATTTCTTATGGATGAGAGAAATGCACTTGCATGAACAGGACAAGCTACCCTAGCAGGTGGTGAGAAGCAAAAAGAAATCTTTCTTCATCACAGTTACTATAATATAACATGTTCTGAAAACTTCTTTTCACTTTACCTAGAGCAACCAATAATAATAATAAATAAAAATGGGAAAGATAATCAGTGAGTACTTCTTGCATGGAAATATTTGAAGAAGCTCATATATTATAAACCAAATGTTTGGTCTTTTCTTCCATTGTCTTCCTTGGGAAAGAGGGAAAGTTGAATGAATCTGCAGTTACTTAAAATCATGCTACTTCAAATTGCCATATCTTAGTCTTTGACATTTTATCAGTGCCATGCATTGGAGAAAAATTGTCCTTAATAGGCTAATATTCAAAATAAGAAGGCACAACCTTGTCATTATTACTAGCACAATGGAAAAGCTCACTGGAATCAGCCATCCAAGCTATGGAGGAGCTTGAAGTTAATTACATCACCTTAGACAATAAGTTGGTCTTTGTGGTTCCAGTTATCTCCGCACACAGTTGGCTCTATTTTTTTGTTGTTGTGTAATGTCCCATTAATCACAGTTACATTTGTTCCCTGCCGTGTGATTCATCATCCTCTCCTCCTGAAAGGACTTCCTTTCTCCAGGACTCAAGATAAACCACTAATTTAAAGTGGCAGTGGCCAACCTTGCCCATCACAACGGCGTGGTTTGAATGAGGAGGGTCAACGGCAACATGCACAGACTCTAGAAGCTTTAGTCGATTCAAATTATCCCCAGTGATTGGGTTCAGGCACTGGGACAGAGATCAGGTGTGACAATTACAGGATGAACTCTCGAAATGGAACTGAAGGTGCATTTGCCTCTGGAACTTTTCCAAGCACCATT